AACCCGCAATTATTTGGGGGGGGGGGGCAATTCAGGTTCTGCCCCCTTTACATTCATCGAGCCCATACGCCTTTGCTCGCAACTGGGGGTCTCACAACCCAGGGATCTGTATAGAGCATAATAGGATTTTCTTCTGAAAGTCTACGTTCTAGAAGTCTCACTTCTATGTTAAAATAAGACCTCGTTGTATCTAACGGCATGATTACTTGCGTGCAATAACCCGGAGAAAAGAGAACTTGCGGCTAAATTATTGGGGGGGGGGGGACACTCCCCCCCCCCACTCCGCCTGGCAGAACTGTATACCAAGATGCCAACAATCTATACGAATGACCCCCCCCCCCTCCCCGACAACAATAACAGGTTTATTCCAAACTTATACCAACAAACTAAAAGAATGCATCCCCGTCCCACCAACAACATCCTGGTCAAGCCAGGCTTAATCCAAACTTAGATGATAGGCCTAGCACAAGTCATAGGCGCTGTTATTCATGTTATGTGAGGTACCTGACCCCCCCCCCCTACATCCCTTTCCCCACTTTACTTTATAATAATAATATGGTATGGAAGAGAGATGGGACAATAGCAACTTAATGGTAGAGATCTGTCTTGTGGGCGTTATACGGTCATTGGTCTATTGATTGATACGTTGAGAGATCTTTTCTTTGCTAATGAAAGGCCCAATTAAGAAATTTTATTCGTGATATTTCATAAGCGATAATTACGAAACTAAACGATTCTAAATCGTCGGAATCTTTTGATAATAGCAATAATCCACCTTAATACTGATGAGACCGTGCGTGCCAGTTTCTGCAATACAGTGTAATATCGTTCTTGACAAGAAAAAACAACAACCTTGGTTTATATTTCCATGTTTTAATTATTTTCGCAATTCTTCCATTAGTTTATCATAAATGTAGCATGGTCAAGATAATAAAATGCTAAATCAAAATGACATTTATTGCCATTTAGATAGTGTTGTTATGTTTACATAATCTGACTAATATTTACGACGCTGACTATATTGCTATTCATATTTCAAGTCAAAATCAAACATGGATCAAAACTGTAACTTACATTGAAATTATGATAAATTTAAGTCATAACAGCAGGCCTATGTACCACCCAAACAACATCCCTATCAAATCTTGCTCCACATTTTTATACGCCCACATTTTCATATGGACGTATTATGCCATCGCCCCTGTCCGTCCGGACGTCCACAATTTGTTTGTGGTCAGTCTACAGGTCACAATTGGAGGGTCTAGAGCACAAGTGATCTAACAACCAACTAAAATGGTTGGTAGTTAGATCACTTGTGCTCTAGACCCTCCAATTTTAATCCGATTTTAACGAAACTTGAAATATAGGTTTATCAAAAAAGATCTCGGTTCCTTTCGGACCATAACTTGATGGATTATGCCCCCTGGTTGTACGAAAAATCACGTTTTTAGCTTGTGGACACTCTAGAGGTCACAATTATTGTCATGTGATTTTGATGAAATTTGATATGCATGTCTTTAACCCAAAGATCTTGGTTCCTTTCGATATTCGCGCATATCTGATCGTAAGTCCTGAATTATGGCTCCTTATTGTACAAAAATTTTTTAGTGTGTGATCCCACTGCGGTCACAATGTTTATCCGATTTAAAAACAAAACGTTCGAAAATATCACCGTTACACCATAATGTCAGTTGAGTTCGAATTTCGTGAAAATCTGATTGAAACTGCCAGACAAAATGACCGCTCCTTGTACTCAAATAGTGTAAAGGTATGTAATACCAAGGATGTTGACCCTCTAGAAGTCACAATTTTTATCCCATTTTGATGAAACCTGAAAAGTATGTTTATAATGAAGGTTGAATTAGAATTTCGGGAAAATCAAAACAAAACTGCCCGGCAAAATGGCTGCTCTTTGTACGCAAATTGTGTAAAAGTATATAATACGAAGGTTGTGGACCCTCAAGAGGTCACAATTTTTATGCGATTTTGATGAAATTAAAAATATATCTTTATATCCCAAAGATCTCGGTCCCTTTCGATATTTGTGAATTTCAGACCATAACTGATTCTACGAAAAAATCGCTTTTGCTTTTAGCTTGCAAAATGTGGGCGCATCTTGCCTGCGTGGTCAAGGAGTGTAGGAGGCATTTTAAAATCAACGATTCTTGCACTTTCTGTGCCCAGCAACTTAAATTTGAAAACATTCAAATAAAAACAATCCATGCAGTATTCTTACATTGCTTTCATCGGAATCCGTCAAGTATTTCAGAAGACTAAAATGTCTAAAATTGTGCATTTAATACGCCAATAACAAATCCGATTAATCAAAACGCAAACAAAATACGAACTGAACTTGAAAGTAAATAGGAGTCATGTGAAGAAGAATTTGAAATTACTAACAATTGGCCAGAATCCCGAAGATGGAGGACGGTGGACGTAGTGTTAACTACGTTTGGTGGGCGATGAACAGAAACCAGACTTGACATTAACATGCGCGTATATATGTAGTAAAATTTCTCAATTATGCTTTGATGGGAGAAATTGACAAGACTGACCACGCCCTATCTGAAATCGGACAGATCCAACTGCCTAGTTAGAGGCACGGTATTCATGACTAAAAGGCAAAACAGACTTTTAAAATAGGTTTTACAGGCCAAATATTCCAGAATAAACGATAACAAATAAGTAATCTTGCCTAACAGGCAGAATGATCTTTGAGTTTATATTGCCCTGTCTCATTTCTGTTTTATTTTCAATAAATTAGGAAAAAAATTGTTATTAGGCATCCGACTTTAATCTATACACTCAAAGGAACAAGACAATAAAAACAACGGATTCATTAGTCTTTTGGAACTAACGAAAACCTACAAACACCCGAAACATAAGAGTATTAAAATTCAACATGTTTTGCAATTGTTTATTAGGGAAAATAAAATTTGAAAGCTGTATATGTAATACAAGATATACCTAAATATAATAGCCAAGATTACAAGATGTCAGCAAATGTCTAGAAGCACTAATATTTATGATTTTTTTAATCCCTATTGATTCCATCGCGGCAACGGAAGAAGAAAACATAGATTGAATTTCTGTTCGTTTTGACAAAGACGTAACGAAGGAGCTCACTCGGCCAGTATATTGTGAATAACAAATGATAAAGGGAGCAAAAAAAAAAATATTTGCAAAGAAAACAAAAGTGACTGAATCACATTACTAGCTTTATGACAATGAAACTGGCAAAACACAGTGAGTTAGCTATATATTGGTAAATTGCAACAGGCGTTCAGAAATGTTGTTTATGTAAGGAGTACAACTAGGTTAGCCATGGGAATTATCCAAATACATGTAAGCAATTACACAAAATGCTCACATTTATTTGGCCAAAATGACAATACATAGATGGAAAGGAAAGAAACGAGGTTAAACATCTGGTCAACACAATACTGTGGTGATTTTGGGACTAACACAGACATTATGGGTTGTTTTGTTTATATCATCACGTGTGCAACGTTATGAAGGGGAAGTTGGGGCCGCGGCTTTCATCGAATTCCAACTGTTGAGTGTTCTTTTATTTCCTCAAGTTCTCATCCCATCCTAACAACGTCCCGGGAACACATTATATACATGCCACCCATGCAGGCTTTACCCTTCACGAACCTTGACGGTAGTCGAAACTGAGATATTCTTATCCAGAGTCCAGTACACTTACCACTCGACCCCGCCGCCCCGGATACATCGTGGGAAAGACTAAGCTAGAAATAACAAGCATACCTTGCCTTGTGCAGGATGCCACTCGTAATTTACAAGTAATTGAGACAATAGTTTAAATTAAATTGTTAGAGGTCGAACCTGCTTTGTGAAGGTAACATTGACCAACAACAGTCACAAGTGAAATTTTTAAAGGGGTGTCACGTCACGTGTGTATTTTAGGGATAAAACTAATTAATTCTATGCAAATAAAAGTGCTTCTTGTAAGCAGTCGTCGCGATTATGAAGTCACGCATTCAATTTAACAGTAGCTTTTCTTGAATGAGATAGTTAAAATTGGATACGTAACTATCGCTCCAAAACTAGCTGTTTTTTTGACATCGTGGCTCGTTAAGCAAATCAAACGATAAAACCCGAATGGAGCAATATTTGAATTTGAGACTTTCAGGAGAGGAAAATAGGATATTTCTTCACGTTTTGGCGTGTAATTTGCATAAGATATATTATTAGCTATTTGAAATTCTCAAACAAGTGGTATAAGGTCACGATTATAGTTATTTCAGAACCTATAACAGACTTGTTTTTTTTTTCTTCATTAACATAAAATATTTCGAGGCGATCATTCATCTGATTCGAACAAACATAGTAGGCCTATCTTATTGCAATTTCTGGAAAGAGTTCCCTATTTTTTTGTTTTATCAAAGCTAAACTAGAGTGTTGAATTAGGTTGATCCGAGGTGTTATTTCGAGTTATGATAGGATAAAAAATAGACTGTTTAATTTTTGTTCGAAATATTAAGCGGAAGTCAGTTTATTTACTAATTTCAACAAAGACAGATTGTTGTCCCACTAAATAATACAATGGCTCTATATGTAGACCTAAAATCAACCCGCCAAACTTTAATAAATCGACAATTGTTATTGCATGTTCCTTTTAGATCTTTTATAATTTATTAACATAACTTAAACAGGAAATGTACGATGGTTTTTTTATTGTAGCTGATTATACATAAATAACGTATGTTCGTTGGTTAAAATTTAAGCGATAATATGTTTTCAGTGGTTATCGAAAGTCATGATAATGAATAATTGATTAGCCTTTTGTGAAAAGTTATTAGAATTGAATAGAACAGGTAATGGTAAATGTATAATATATGTAACGACATAGCTGTGATCGGTCAAGCAAAGCCAATTTAGGTTCTGGTAAATAGACGACATCAATTGGGGCCATTATATATTGATAACAACAACTTTAATGGTACTGTATCTTTATTCTTCTTATTTGTTTTCAGTTCATAATGGCAACCGGGAAGAGTTCGGCCACACAGAAAGCTACACTAACCGTCAACCAGCACGAATCGTCAGAGAAGTCAGCGGCAACGAATGGACCACAACAACAACCCGTTCGTCGCAAGTCAGGAATGTTATTAGAGCTACGAGATTACGAAGAAGACGAAATGTACGGTCCGGAAGCTGGTAACTCCTCAAGAAGACCCTCTACATCTTCATTATCAAGATATCGCTCGTGCCCACAATTAGCTTCAGCTTTATCAAAGCCGGATTCTCCAGGAAGCGATCTCCTAACAATTGATGAACCCTCCACCGACGATATTTCGCCTAATATCAGTCGCACATTTCAAAGTCCAGATTCGGATCGGTCGTGTACACCGACTCCTCCGTCTTCTCCGGGTAGTCGCCGCAGTGATACTAGCAAATCAATTCCAGGTAATACAACCCCTAGCTGGGACCCCTCATCGCCAAGCTCCACTCCCAAGTTACACAGAAGGGCTCGAAAAGAACATAAATACGACAGGATAGCGTCTACAGAGAGTGCTCCAAGGGAGATAAATCTAAGATTACCTTTACGCGAAGACACGTCTTCCAGGTTCGACAGGAGACGTGAACGCGATTCCAAAACGTTTTCTGATTTATATGATAGCCCTCCCGATGTCAGTATTGACTATCGAGTCAGTGAAACCTCGGATGACGATTCTATAAAATATCATGGACAAAACCATTTACCGGATGACGGACGTGACAAGTGCGAACGTTGGTTACAGACCTTGAAATTAAGCAATGCCGATAGAATAAAATCTAGAAGTCAAATGCAACTCCCGCCTATGTGATGAAATGTGAATTTAGTTTTGTTGGGATTTAACAGGCATATGTTTGTTCTCGGTATAAGGAAACGATTTGAAAATTCCACGAACGTGTAATTGCCTTTTTATTGGATTATTTTATGCCCATAAATTATGTGGCACCGAGAAGTGGTATATCGTGTATTACAGAACGAGTAAACATACCCTGCCTCGTACGGTATATATTATTAATAATTGTAATTTAAGGAATTTAAAATGTTGCCGCTTGTGAGTGTTTACAAAAATGGTGATAATGTGTTCCCAGGTAATAAAATGTGTTCTGTGTTTTAAATAATTTATTGTGTTCGTCTTTGAGTGAATCGAATGCAGGTGTTGTCTGGCGTTTTACTTAAAACGTGTCGTGTTAAAAAGCCACCCTACCTTAAAATGCCCTCCTTCGCTTTTTCCATCTGTTTACCAATGAAATTCCAATGTCAGCGGTTTGATTATCCCGTATACTTAAAAGGCGGGTGGCAAGAACGTTTGTCTGCGATATCACTCTATTCTATTCGGAGACCCTGTTCATATTCTACAGAAAGTTGAAATTTAATTAGGAATAATGTTCTGGAATATTTAGGACGCGATGTAATTTTTTTAAAGGTTCGGGGTGGGATTTGGGGTACGAGCAGGAACTTATGGTCAGATTGTATTCTAGGCGTCCTACTATTTACTTCAGGGGTGCAGCCAACACTTTTACATACCATGTGCCATATTATGTACACGGCGGTGTGAAAAACTGTAAATCGTCCACAACACCCGAAAGATAGGAAACTCCCCTCAAAATGAGTTTTATTTTTCGGACTGTCACAGACAAAAATAGCCACCGAGAACTTGGCTCTATTCTGACAGGCACCATATCTTGGAATATTTAGATCGCTTATATTTTATGTCATGTGATTTCTTTCCATTTAAATTATGTTGAGTATAAAATATATAAAATTAATATGTAAGTACAAGAATTGTAAATAATAATAACTTGCTTGTATATTGGTACGTGTATAAATATAATAATGAATATTATGGTCTTGTGTAAAAAAACCCCAAAAAAACCCAAAAATAACCAAGAAAAAAACGTTGTTTTTATTTACACTGTATTATGAAAATAAAAAATATCTATATTTTGTGAAGCAGCATGAGTTAATGTCTTTAAATTTTGTCGATATGCCACAGTTTTAAATATCCTAAAGTTAAAGCATGATTTTTGATGAATTTAGTGACAATGAATACATTGGACTCCTGGATCCGTAGCGATCGAGGTGGGGTGGAGTGGGGTATTGAAATGGGGCCTGTCATTTATACATCCGATGTTATGACACTTAGGTGTATAATTGCGACTTTAAACAATCCAGGGAGCTTCGGTGGCTCAGTGAGTAAGACGATGGCTCGCTAACCTGCAGGGTTCAGTGTTCGATCCCTTTGTTGGTTGAAAAAAAATTCCCCTGTGTGTGACGGAGGGCTTAGCATTAGTGGCAAGGGACAACGTATATTCATTCGGATGGTATGAAAACCGATGTCCCGTGTACACATTGGCGTACACGTAAAATAACTCTTGACAAATTTTCTTTCATAGCACACAGCGTGGCGTATGTCAGTAGCCCAGTCGGTGCAGAAAAGTAGGACTTTAAACCCCATTCCATTTAATTTCATTCTTAAACAATCGATGGAGGTTGTTTGTAATAGACATACAATCGAGAGATATGACACTATTTGCTGAATACATTATACATTTTAATATTTGACTGTTGATTACCAATAACACATACTGGTTTTATTTGTCATCATCTCCTCAATATGCTTGATGTCGTCTTGTTGAATCATAATGTTTCGAATTACAACAATGGGATCTATTTTACCTGTGCTGCTTATGGACTAAGCCCCTTATTTCATGATGGATGCAGTGCGAGTTATAAATAGACAATTTTTCCCTAAATTTTTTTGTCAACTCTTCCTGCATTTTTTGGTTGACTTTTTGGTCTAGAATTGGAGAAAAGGGATCAAATTTGCAATTTCATAGCAGTTTGGGGTAATACAGATGATTTTACGGCGGAGGGATAGTGGGTGTAAAGTGTCTTTCTGCAAAGCAATCATTGTGTCGAACGTGAGATTTTCACCCCAGTCAACAGCAAATCCCCGTTGCAAAAAATCTAAACGGTCAACCCTCTACAAATTTATGATGAGGAGATTGCCAAATGTGGTCCCTATTGTGCCTGTAAAGATTGGAACCAATGGAATGTTGAGCAAAACGCTACAGCCTGTGATGTTACAGTCATTTAACATTGAAGTCAATGGGCAAATAATTGCTAGTCTGAGTCCTGATCCCCGCTTATTTTCCCGTAAGAGTTATTCCCCCTAACTAGTCGGCTGCGACGTGTAAAAATATTTAAGGTATTCTCGGTCCACACAAGAAGTCAAACGGTACATTTTTTTTTATCTTTAATTCACTCCCTAGCTAGAATTCCTCGTTATTTTCGGATAATTACTTTTACTTTTCACCCCCTCTCCGCATCCCCACATTCATTTCTAAACGTAGTTTATTTTAATTTTCAGTGGTGTTTCATCATATTTTCTGTTAGGATGTTGGTGGCATAAGAGAGAGAGAGAGAGAGAGAGAGGGGGAGAGATGGGTTTAACGTCCACTCAACACAAACTAGGTCATTTCGGGACTAACACGTGGTTCAATTTTATTTAAATAATTCACTTGCGCGTAGGGGTCTTTAGCAGTGGGCGGGGACCGAAGGACCCAGAGAAATTCCACGAGGTTGGACAAACGACCCTACTCCTTGTCACGTACAACCGGGGAATCGAAACGACGCCAGTTGACTCAATAACAGACCGTATGATACAGCGTGCACGCGCTAACCATTCGCCCCCCCCCCCCCCCCACCCCCACCAAGTGGCATAAGAACCGTAAGGCAAACAGAAATAGTGCCATAAATAGTAGCTTATTGCTATTGACACTATATTGGGTGGCCCAGAAAAATTAGTACATTATTTAAAGTGGAAAAATTCAAATTATTTTAACCATATCATTAACTTTTCACATGTGGTACAATATGGATTTTGACAACCTCACTCCAAATAAGAACGTCAAATCTAGATCTGCATACTTAGAAGTCACATAACATCACAGTCCGTAAAAAAATTAATTTGACATGCTTTTTTAAAACTCGTACTGTGTGGACCTGCAATTTGGGGGTTTACGTGCTACAGTTTTGTTCAGACTGGGCTATGGGGGAAATTTTGCCCGGACAGCGACGCTATGGCCTACTCTTACATACTCTTCAAAAAAGTCGGGGATATTGAAATGCAAATACCTATACAGGTTGTGATATGATAAATAGTCATGGACACTTGACATGCTTTTGAGAGTATGTTCACAGATGAAGAACTTATCGCCCCAACAGAACCACTGAGCTGCACATGCGGCACGCAATAGCGCCATACACGTGGGAGGGGTTCGTTGTCAAATTTGACACTTCAAGGAAGGGTTGATGAAAACTGCCGCGTGCTGGTTTATCTATCCATGTTTACTTTCCTATGGGTTCTTGCATAAGATTTACTGTTCAGCGTATCTTTGCTTTAGGGTGTTTCGTTTAATTTGATCGGGAGACTTATTCGTCGACGTCAATACCAACCGACAACACTGCAAGAATTGGCCGTGGCACTGCAAGAGGAGTGGATCACACTGTCCCAAATCGTGATTGGATGGTTGATTAGGAGCATGCCACGACGAGCAATTACTCATTATTAAGACAAGAATCAAAAACGTCCATTTTCACTTTTGACAGTGTATCTCTTTGCGGGTGTAATGGGGCCGTCAGATAAGCCGCCCATATGAACTGTTTATGTTCATGTGTAGGCAATTGGCCTGTTATTAACATACACTGGTTACCTCTAATAAAAACAGCAGTGCATTTCCGCAGTTTTGTATTTTTTCCGAATATCTCCTACTTTTTTTTGAAGAGTATATCTGCCTCTAGTCCAATATAGTTTCTGTAAATAACTAATATTTTTTTTAACAAATAACGGGTTTACAAATCCAAAAACATCCTTAAACTAGACATCCTAGATATATTTCAGTGAATGAGACTAGTAATTCTCTTTGAGTCCTTTCAGATCACACAAATGTAAATTGGTTATAAAAAGTCATGGCCTGTTCTTTTGATTTCCCTCTACAAGAGAATCATAATCAGGCATTTATTTTGTTCAAGTATGTTTTTGGGACGTGTATACACGTGTTTCCCAGTGTACTCGGCACTGGAAGGAAATAAGTGCAAATTGGAAAAAGGTTAACGTGGAAGTCCTTAGAATGAATTGAGGGCTAATTCTTTCCGTTTACCATTGCCATTGGTTAACTAGATTTATCTCTCTTCAAATGTAGGCCATCAGAAATATAACAGCAAACTAATAACAAACGGGCAAATCAATCGTTTGAGACTAATAGAAAACACTTCTAGCCACGAAGAGCCATCACAAATGATTTCACCCTTTTCCTTTTGTCAGTGTGAACAAGGAGATAATATTCTGATCATGTTTCCCAAAGGTTAAAGAAGCACTGCTCCATCACCAAGAAAATCAATGATATTAATATATTGATAATATTATATTCAAAATGAAAGTTTACTTACAGATCCATGCCAGTGGAATAGCGAATATTTTCCTTTAATAAAGATGAGGGAATTAGGGTTTGCCAATGTCGGTTACTAAAAAATATTTTATTGGAAAATTCTTTACAAGAGGATAAGAACAATTGATAACAAATTATTAATCTCCTAATATATTTAACATTTATATAAAGTAGTAGGGCCAATATCAATCAATATAATACCAGATTTTGATGGACTGTTTGAATAAGCAATTAGTTTCTTTAACATATATAAAGAATTTGATTACCAATATGTTGATATTGTTGAATGTCAAACTGTAAACTACACGCTTAAATTCTAATGCCTAAAACATCCACAATAATTAACAGCATTCACAGTTTTCCCTATCAATAATGAACCGGCTTTAAAATTCATAAGAAATTTTATTTAACAAGAATACATCGAAATAAGGCAATAAATCGACGGTATTGATCCTCTTAAAATGTCATATTTATTGATACTATATTCAAGCGCATTATTTTTACAATTACCCTCTAGAAATAAACAAGGACCACAAAGCAATACACAATGGATTGAAGTCTTATTCAGCCTTTTGTGTCGTAAAAATCCAAATGTCGAAAGAAATCATTTTGTTTTTTACATTTGTATAAATCTTCATCCGTTGTTATTTAAAGTGGCACTCTCATATCGGTCATCGCCGCCAATCGGTAAATATATTTTGTGTGCAAAATTAGAGACTATTTTCCTAATATTTAGTTGAGATATAGACACTTGACTATTCGATTCAAGGCAGTGGTAAGTTGGATCGGTAATGGACGAAGTACTGGAACATTTCACGATTTGAAACACGTTTAGCTTTAAATTTTAAAATTCTATCTTCAACAGCAGAAGGAATCTTTCGAGGTCTAGGCAACGAAATGGAATGAGGGACCCCAATAAGGGACCCCACAAAAAATGACAAACAATATTTTATAAAAGATAAAATATTTTATGGTTTAGTGCCGTTTTTATTTTAAATACATATTTACTAGGACGCATAATCTACTGAATACTTATTTGATCCATATAAAGTCCTTAATCCAGCCCTTTGGGCAGGCGTCCAATTGTATATGAATACTTCTTGGTGGAAAGCCATACAAATAAATCAACCTCGTAGACATCTATAACAAACACCAAAGTAGTAAATAGTATTCAGGCATAAAGTAACCTCTCTAAGGTCAAGTGCTAACATTTTCGACAAATAATATGAATTCAGAATGATAATTTTATTTTGCTGTAGAAAGCGAAGCCCTGTTAAAGCTTATCAACTTTCCTTTATGTTAAAATAAACCTAACACTATTCTGATTTACATTATTTTTTTTAACGGTCAAAATATTTCACAGTTATAAAACAGGGTGTTACAAAGATGACTATAAATGACATTAAAGGGTTAAGAAATAAAAAGCCTTCTTTCAAATGAATAATAAAATAAATTGTGATTAATCAAAAACCTAACTTCTGTGTAGTGATACACCGGCTC